GCGAGTGCCTCCGTGCCACCTGACGTGCACGCCGGCTGAAATGGAACCCTCCATCCTAGGGGGCCAGGGTGCAGAAAAAACCCTACGGGGCGGAAAAAAAACCCAGCCCGTGTATGTACCTGCTGTCGCCCGTGGAAGCATTCATCGTGCACCCCTCCATATCCCTCAATCTCAAGCTGGAACCCTCGTCACCCAAGGTTAACAGATGCAGGTTTCATATATGCTTAACAGCAACCGAGCCGCGTTACCGGGACATGTAGCTTGATTGCCGTGTACTGCTCGAAGATAGTCCAAACTCCTGCGAAAGGAATGTGCTGCTTCAATTTTCAGCAGAGGCACAAGAACCACTAACTACCTATAGTCTCCATTGTAGTTCCTTGTTGGGGATACCTTGTAAAATCCTTAACATATATTTGGTCAAACCAGAAAACGGAACTACAATGGAGACTATTAGGTGGGATTTGCTTGGAGACCGAAGCTCTTGTGAGATAAGCGGGCTCTTCCCAGGCATCCAGGACTGCCACCACATGACCAACATGCCGAAGTCGCTTCTCAAAGACGTCCTTGGCTGAACGCGACGTGGCTGCTGATTACAATAAAGAAAAGCCGAGGGCAACTGCCAAAACAGAAATCCCAAAACTCAGCGGCATTGAGAGATGCTAAATCCTTGGAAGCGTCTTCCAAATTGTCACTGCCAGCGCCACCAGCTTCGTACAGAATCCGAAACTGATTGTTCACAAAAAAACACATGTACAGGTAGACATCGCTTGCCTTGGCTGCTCGTAGATACAGAACAAACCATGACACCAGCCATCTGCCAGGTTGATTTCGCCTGGCCCATACCCTCAATATCGACAAAAGGCGCGCTCGGAGCGGCCAAGATGCATTGCAAGCGGCAGCGGCGCGGGGTGGGAGGGGGGCGCATGCACAAGCATGTTGGGTACAGTTCCTCCTTCTGTTGATTCTATGACTTCCCCGCTATCCTTTTAAAATATCTGCTTGGTGCACAAGAATCTAAAGTTCATACTTTCGAAACCTTCTATAGTAGAAGCCGAAAAGTTGGAACATCATCATCCTCGTGCCTTTAAGGTAAAGTATAGGGAATCCCAGCATGAATCATCCTAAATCCATGCTCTAATTTTCTGGGATTCACTGCGCTGATGAGTGGAAGGTTTCATAGCACCTGCTGGGAACGTGGTCTTTGATCGCCGAAGAGCTCAGGGTGAGCGATGTGCCTACATCTCGCATGATGATCCGACCTTCAATTGATCCAGACGGAACTGCAAGATCTCAAAAACAGATCCGGGGTCGGATGAAATCACCGAAACAAATGCAGGAAACTTGACCACTAGCGCAAGCAATGTCAAAGAATAGCTTCTGGAGAGGTGTGGCGGAAAAAATGGTCACGGAACTGAAAAAAGTTTCAGTGAGGTGAAGAACTCCTTCAATCTGTATGGAATTACCGAAAGTCTTCGGGGAACGGGAGGTGGTCGCAGCTATCGGTGTGCAAGGTGTCGGAAACATTACAAAAAAGAATTGAATGTCAAGAAAGTCACTGTACTGCAAACAAACAACCAAAAAATACAAAACTAAGAGAACGCGAAACATGCCTTTTTGTGGAAGGTGTGCCTACATAATCCCCTAGGTACACTCAATTGGTTTGGGAAGAAAACGTTGCAAATCAGCTCCAGTTGCATCCAGCTTCTCAGACTCGACCCAGTGTTCCAAGGCATCCGTGATTACTTGAACTTCGTACTGCCAAGACCTCAGCTAGAGCCTGCTTCAGGCAGGGCAGAAAAAACATCCTAGCGGCTCGAGTGGAACAAGTCCCAACGCAACTTGGCAAGAAAACAAAAAGGAATGAACACAAAACATCTTAAAACTCAGAGAACAGAAGAAGTCCCGCATGGGCCTGCGCAGCCGGGATGCCAGGACAGGTAATGCGTACACGGCGCACGAGACTCCCGAGGCAGGGTACCCGAGTCGACAAAAGAGGCTCCCATTCGGCCGTCTCCTTACCATTGGAATCTGATACAGGGCGTGCCTACTTTCACAGGGCAGGTTCGTGCACTTCTTAAATGCTGATGTGAACATGCATAGCCGGCATAGCCAATAACATCAAAGCCTCGCGGGCAGATCACGTTCTTGCCTATGGGATTGTCGCCGAAGTAGAAAACCTCTTTGAGCTGGCGGAAGGTAGAAGCCTTGCTTGCCCCCCGAGCTTGAACGAGGTCGGCAAATCTGTCGGACGTGAGATAGGCCACGCATATTCCGGCTTCGTTGCCTGCTCTAGGCTAGGGTTGGGCGGTTGGGCCTGCTGCCCTGCTGCATGTTCCCACAATCTCTCAATCTCAATTGCAACTACAGAAAGAAAGACCTCTTTTGCTTGCTTTCAGTGTTGCTTTGTCTCTGCAAAGTTGTTCGCGTGTAGTCTTCCAGCTGCTCTCCGCTCCAACCCAAAGCCATCAAGTCTGCTCGCGACTCGCATTCCTGAGCTATACAGGGTTTAGGGTTTAGCAGTCCCGAATATAGCTACATGTTACATAGCCCAAAACCGCCACAATGCAAATCGACAAAAGAGCCCTCAAAAGTCTCCCAAACCACCTTTCCAAGGCGCCTTTGTCTTGTCTGCTGCCCAGAGAGCTGCAGACAACGCTGCCCGGCGTGGAAGCTCTTCGAGCAACTTCGCCCTGCATCGTTGCCTGACTTCTGGAGGACACCTGGAGCTCTGCTCTGGCGGTATTTCTGCGAGGTGTCCAGGCTGGGGATGGCATGGGGGGGGGGGGGGGGGGGGGTACAACCTTCGTCTGAGCACAGCAGGGAGGAGCGTTTCGGGACACTTCGGCTTGGTTGGGGATTGAGGTTCCCGGAGTTACTTAATGATGCGCGGTTATAAGTTATGGCGCACACACTCGGTATCAACGATTGATATTCAACATCACCGCTTTGCTGCATACCCACCTCCATGCTAGACGAAGCGCTTGAACAACAGCGACAGTCAGCAGCGTGACGACGAGTGTGCAAGCAAGCGTTGTCCGAAGCGTAGCACCCTGAGCCGCCCAGGAAGCTAGAATGACTGATGCCAGCACTGAATGCCAAATCAGCCACAGTCCGAGTGGAACTTTGCTGAGAGTGATGTGGCGGACTTCCCAGCCCAGTCCAAAGACAGCAGAGCCGTCACACTGGATTTCTTGAATGTTCAGAACGGCTGGCACGTCCTCACGGGTTTCCTTTGTGCAGCCTTTCTTGGAGATCCCCCGTGCACGTTTCTATCAGTATGGGGCCTGCATAAATAGTTGCCGCTACAGAAACCTGACTTCCAGGTTGGCAGTAACTCGGGAAACTAGTGGGCTACCAGTGGGCTTGTCACTCATGTCCTCGTCCAAGTGGAGCTGCGCCCGTCCGCTTCCGAGAAGCTGGCACGTCAGCAGTCTGCCCGGGCCCAGCATGTCGTGGCCGGAATCTTCCAGTCGGAGAGGGATCGCTCCCTTGTCCTGAACCGTTGAGCCGCAAGATCTTCGTTCAAGCGTTTGTTGGAAACTGCTGAACTGCTTCCCGGGCACCCCCAGTCTGTCTGGTTCCAGCTGCAGATTGCAGAAATGAAGAATTAGGTCACTGCCATCTTGCGTTATGCTGCACAGGTCCCGTCGCCGATGCAAAAAGACACCAGCGATGGTGAGAAGGCTACAGATAGCCAACTGGAAAGCGCTGCCGAAGATCAGATATGAGTTGTTTAGGACGCAACCATGTTCACCTCAACTGCAAACAAGATGTTGAATGCTTTAGAGCTTCTCATCAAAAATGAAGGAACCAGTCTTATGCCACGGCATGCAAGCCGTACATCGGAAAGCTGGCCAAGTGACTATCGAAGGCCTGAAACTCGCGACAAGCCAAACGCTGGCTGGACTCGAAGCCTGATTTTGAAAGCAGCAGCACTGAAGACGGCGTTTGGCTTCGAGACTCCAACGATTAAAAATAAAGGAAAGCGCTGTCCCATGTTGTCCCTGCCGCTGTTGCCGACTTTGTCTGCATGGCACACGGGCCCGTCTTCTTGGGCCGCCGCAGCGTTGCAAAGGCGGGTGCAGTGCCTTGTATGCGTAGCAGTCATGTGCACGAGCCTGCTTTGGATTGGTAACTTGAACCTATCTGCAAAATCGTTTGCTGCCTGTTTACATCAAACATCATGTGACGCAGCGATGTTCTAATCAGCGGTTTCGAGGGACACCTTCAACCACGAGCATGCTGCAACATTCTCTCAGCATCGAGAGAATTGAAGGGCTTTCATACGCCTTGACTGCGCACAGTGCGTCCACTGAGCCTGCTGTATGATTGGTTGAAACATCAGGATAGCACTCCAGCAAGCGAGGGCGGAAACATGACCCTCACAGCACGAAATCACGCTCCGACAACACTTTTTCACAGCTCATAGGCTCTTTTCAGCTTAAGGTTTCAGTGATGTTAATGGGTAACCAGCTGGTCGGGCTACCACCATGGTCTGCTTGCTGGAGCAAAAAAACACTTGCAAGCACGAGCCCGACTGCAGGCATCATGGAAGATAGTGACTACGCACGAGGATCAGGACTCGCATCAAGCTGTGAGCAGTTGGTAGCGGAAGTTAGCGGAAAATCCTGTCAAATCGGGAAGGGGGATCCTGAGAGAGAGAGAGAGCGTGCGAGAGAGAGAGAGAGTCGAGAGAAAGAGAGAGAGAGTCGAGAGAAAGAGACCAACATCTGTCTCCTTCATCAGGGAAGAGGAACACGGCCATGACGTGTGCGCACGACATACAAATTACATACAAATTACAATGTAAGACAAGTTCCGACGAGGGATCAAATCAAGATCGGATGCTGGATGTACACTCCCCTGTAAACCTCCGGGACTAGGGGACAGCGACACTGACACGAGATGTGCAGTCGGCATACGAATCGAGGTGCCCCTGCAAGTAGAACACTTTGTCGCCGCAAAACGACGATTTCTGCTAACTCCTTACCCGCAGGATCTCAACCTCCATGCTTCTGCGAAGCATTCGGGAAACCAATCGAATTGCTCTTTTGTTGCGTTACTGCCAAGTGGAGGGTTTTCCTCGACAAGGCAACGAGGTGATGAAAGCTGAACGAGCTTCCAACAACTGAGGGCAAAGCAGCAACGGCGCAACTGCAATGGGCAGCCACCGGACCATAGCCCGGCCCGGCAGGGATTCGTATCACACCGCAGGCTCTGATTGCAGTTCTTACTACCTGGACTCAACTTTTAGCATCCGTCGCGTCGCAGAGCACGGGCAGGTCACATAGGTGCGACCCTCGTCACTTGCTCGGGACCAACATGTCATGCACTCCTTGATGGCTGTTCAAAAACATCGTCTGGGGTTTGCTGTATGGAACATGTCCTTACGACCTGAAGCACTTGGGCCGACACAACTGCGCCGGGAACAAGAAACAACAGCTGCAGAAACTCCGCCGATGTTAGACAGACGACAGAGAGATTGAGAAAGAGGACGGACGGAGGGAGGTAGGAAGAGAGAGAGAGAGGGAGATGCATGGTGATAGTAGGATGGTCCGTGGTGGCCGTAGTAGTAGTAGTAGTAGTAGTAGTAGTAGTAGTAGTAGTAGCAGCAGCAGCAGGAGTAGTAGTAGTAGTAGTAGTAGTAGTAGTTGTTGTTGTTGTAGTAGTGGTAGAAGTCACGGGAGTGGTGGCAATAATGGTAGCAGCAGCAGTAGCAGCAGCACAGTAGCAGTGGCAGTGGCGCTAGCAGGAGCAGGAGCAGTGGCACTGGGAATAAACGGAAGAAGAGGAAGGGGTGATGCTGTCGGTCGTGCCGCTGCTGTCTATCTTGGTGATGATGTCACGACGAGGAGGCTGCTGACGAGTCCGATGATGATGCCTCTGATGCAGAGGAAGATGATGATGACGACAGGGATGACGAGGATCATGGTGACGAAAATGTTGGTGTGGTGCTAATGATGCTGATGGTGATGTTGATGATGATGTTGGTGGTGCTGATGATGACGATGATGATGTGAAGCTGCACAGGGGTCGAGTGCGATGCAAGGCATTGGAGTAAGACGGCCCAGCAACGTCAGGGCTTAGCATGTTCAGGTATGCTGCGATGTCAGGCTTTATGCCTCGACTTATATACTGGAGTGCTGAAGGTTCGAACTCCCCGAACCCAAGATACACTCTAGGTTTAGGGTTTTTTTTATCACCTCTTTAGGGTTTAGGGTTTACGGGAACCTTGGGCTATGGTTCTTAAGACGGGCACAGGAAGGCTTGCAGTCTCGGGGGGCTCCAGGCCTTGGCCCTTGCGGCCCTTGCGGTCCAAAAGCCAGGATACTTTATAGTTCCCTAATATGGGTTATAATTAGTAGTTACCCTAAACCCGAAACCCTAAACCCTAATATGGGTTATAATATGGGTTATAAGTATAGTTACCCTACTTATAACCCCCCAACCTGGCAGAAGAAGGCCAGAGGCCCTCAGCTATCCAAGCTCCAACCTTCGAACGGTAAGGCCCTAAGGACCACGACCCAAAGCCACACGAAGATCTCTCACACAGTCCCGAACGGTGGGAACTCCGAGGTCCGGGCTCGGCCACGCCCCGGCCTTCGAAAACGCGACCAAACTTTCAGGCTTCCGTGGTCTAAGCTGTTGTGTTCGGACATGAGGCTTTGCTTGAGACTTGAGATGGCTCTTTTGCAGCTCGTTTTCTGACTCCTGAAGTCCAAGCCCTAGCTTTACCTCAACGGGTGTTCGCAGGGCGAAGGGCGCCTTTCTCATGCTGCCGGTGGGAGGGGAGAGCAACCTCAGACTCAGAGCTTGGACTTCACCTTGCCTTCCAAGGAAGTAACCTCCACCGTGCCGTCGTGAACGGTACGGAAGACACGCTTCAGCTCCTCCTCGTAACTTGTGCCCAGTTCCACCAAGTCTGTGGATTCATCCAGCTTCAATGGCTCGCCCACTGCGACCGCATAGTCTACACTCCTTGCAATGGGGAGGCCCATCCATCCCACTGGAAACACCGGCACGAATTGGAACATCTTCATGCACCAGCCTGTCCAGCTGGCAGGGACCAGCGGCTGAGACCTGAAGGCTTCACTTTCTCCACGGACATAGACGGGAACAACAGCTATTGGACCGAGGGCTTCTGCAACCTCCTTCATTGAAGCCAAGAGTTTCTGGCTGACAAAGAGCTTCTCCGGGCCGGCGGAGCGGGAGCCCGCCGCGGCACCTGCCTCCCTGGCCACACCCGGGAAGATGACAACATGGGAGTTCTTCTCGAAGGCAACTTTCACGGCATCCTTTCGTGCTGGAATGCACCCACACCAGCGGGCGATGTTTTGGTTGAAGGGTAACTTCATGAAGACATGTGTCACTGCAATGCGCAAGCTTTGCTCAACTGGCCCACCACACAGCTGCTGCACTGCATCAGGGACTGTGCCCAGGAACTGTCCACACAAAGACATCGTTCCATGTGGATGGCAACAGAACAGTACACGCTTCTCGTCCCGCAGCGCAGGATTGCCCAGGATTCGGAAAGTGTTCATTTGCTCTCGCGCCCACCTCCACACGGGGAGATTGCGGAATGCATCCACTGTGTATCCGCCTTCCAGGTCTCTGTTCACGGCACCAAGCCTGAGCAACGTCAGCAGGCCGATGACAGATCCGACTCCGTAACGACGCCACAGGGACGCACAAAGTAAGGCAGGCGCCAGAGGCACTTGGCAAAGTATGATTAAGCCGGATGATAATTTTGGCATCAGCTTCAGCTTTGGCGCGAGCTGGTTGGAAGCCAGTAAGGCCAGAAAGGCAAGAAGGAACTTAGGCCACGGCTGCACCATGTAGGGCCCAAAGATTTCACACAATGCTACATATGGACAAGACTTGTTGGGTTGTAGATGCTGCGGCAAGTCTTAGCGGTCTCAGCATTCCGTGGCACAGCAGCAATACCCAAGGAGAAGTCCCCCAGCCGCAGACTCTCGATCCATACCCAGGAATCTTGAAGAGCTGACAAGAAGCAAGACCCAAAGTGCCCGAAGTACCGCCTCTCAGCAAATCCAAACAGACCTAGCAGTAACAGTCAACAACATGCATCAACAGACATCAAAGCACCCTGCTGCCATCAAGCGCAGAAACCTTGTGAAGTGAACCCCTGGCCTTCGGCAGGGTCTGCCGACCCCATCGAAAGCCGGCTTGCACGTTTGAAAGTCAACTGGGGCCAAAGACGGCTGCCCGAGTGCTTCGTGTTCAAGGTTTCGGAATGCTGGTACTTGAGGCCCTGACAGGGGCGACCCCAATGCACATGAAGAAACGACCAAGACATGTAGACAAAAGCCGGATGTGTCGAGCTGTCTGCAAGAGCCTACAAGCTCTGAGGCTGTGTAGCAGGTAGCATTCTCATAACTCATATTGCAAACGTTCAATCAAGTTCGTGCTTGTCTAGGGTGCATGGACAGTCCGAAAGCGAAACAAACGGTAACGAGCTGATTGGATTTCATACAAGATGAATGTCCAAAGCGTGGAACATCCTGGAACATCATGCCTGCTACGTACCGGCCCACAAGTTATTTTCTTTGCACAGGCGTCGAGTACTGCAAGAAACCGCCTGACAGCAGACAGCAAGGTGCGTCCACCTGGTATTTAACTGAGAAATTTTCAGACGGTGAGAGATAGTCTAAATGCCTTTTGGAGCAGTTGCTCCAGGCCACAAACATCGTACATTCGCAGGCTCGAAGTACGAAAGTACGAACAATGCAAGTCCCACGTTAAAGATTGTCGTCTGTCCTCCTGTGAAACATCTCTTGCTCTTCGGGGCGGGAAACTCAAACGACCCTATCTTCAAGAGCATTTCTTGATGGAAAACATGGACACTCCCAATTTCAGCTTGAGCTGCTGCACCACCGATGCATTCCACACCAGCAGCCAGCTCCCGAAAACCTGAACAGCCATTTCAGTATCGGCGCACATTGCCGCGTTCTCAACCACACAGCATCTGTTTGCTCCCCCATACCCCAAACCACGTGCTGAGTTGACTGCAAGGGTGTGGAAGATGAGAAGGCTTCTTGCTGTCGAAACAGGTAGTGCCCAAGATGCACCCACTGAAGCCACCTGGCGCCAAAGTCAGCGAGTCTAAGGAACAGACTCCTAAGACGGTACTTATCTTTCCACGAATCGAAGTGCTCAGCTCCCCGCGAAAGGTAGCACGCACCATTGGGCCGGGGAGTAAGGCATCCTGCAAACGTCCCCAAAACTCCCCAAAAAGGCTCGTTTCTCGGGTCCTCGCCATGGTGAACACGATGAGCTGTATGTTCATCCAGAAGAGGTTCCTCGGATTAGACTTTAGGGTAACTTGTGGTAAACTTTCACCGGCCCTGACTGCGACCAGACACGAACTATCCCAGCAAACGTGGCCACACTCCCATGCGACTTTCTACCCGAGTGCATTCATTAAACGTAAACCATCTTACCAATATGTAAACACCCCGACGTCAACAACAACATCAAGATCCAGTTGGAGTAGGCAGGATGCTGTAACATCTCTGTTGACAACCTCCAGCTCCAACGATTGGTTGGGCAAGTGTGATAATCACGCCCGCTTCTGAACGGGCCGAACCATGTAACATGCCTGCGAGTGCACAGTTGCTCTGCCCAACAACTGGCAGCCAATCAAGCATAGATTTCGTTCCTCGCAATCTAGCACACCTGTGCCCGGAAATTCTGCACCAGGCATCTCAACAATATTACATACTACCAAATGGCAGGATTCAGCAAGAGTGAACATTACACTGCTGCAGCATTCCAGGCAACTCCAGGCCGGGTGGTCGGACTGGGAGAGTTAGGGCATTGCAGGAACAACCGACTCCACGGCTCTCGATATGAAAAACCAACCTCCTGCCGAGTGACAACCCCGTGAGTAGCAGCACAAGGCGTGGCGAAGAGGCCAGCAACTCAGGCTGCCAGAATCGAGCAGCAACGAAAGTGGCGGCTATCGGCACCAGCTCCTGCAGCACAATCAAAATTTGCCAACACAGATTGTCGCAAAGTCTTAGCTTTACGCACGGCTCTATCCTAGCCTGTATCGCGATGGGTCCAGCAGCTTTGAGGGTGGTAACCTGACGGATGGCCGGTCCACACAGCATCAAAATTATTTCCTCGCAGATGCCGTCCATGAAATCACGCTGAAACAGCACAAAAATTGTAGAGACCGGGACTTCCCAAAAAAAGATGATGAACTGAGAACTATTTATCGTAAGCCGTCGAGGCAACAACAATGAAACGCCCCACAAGTTGTTGCAAGAGATCTCACTGTCTGCAACCCATGAGCCACTGGCGCCACCCACATGGCGCAAACGACAGCTGCAGTCGCCTGGAAAAGTGTCAGTAGCATATTGTCAACGTACGGCAGGCATCACATAATGCCTTCAGCACTAGACTGTTATAACCACAGCCATCATCATGAGGATAGTAATACTACAAGTAGTGATCATGCAAGGTTCGAGCAAGTGTAAAACTCTGCAAAGGCTCCGAGTCGGAAACTCGGCCTTATGTCGGCTCTTCGAGCCTGAAAGCTGTCGCTTTCGGCAAGTGGGGGCGACGTCGGACCGGTTCTTCGCGGCCCACAAACTTGCCTTCCCTAAAGCACATGGATCCCCGTGACCACAAGATCCACTGATGTCTGGCCAGCTGACCACTTCTAACAAATGACCGGTTTTCGTTTTGCCAAGACGGGTCATGTAGCGCTAAAGTTATACGCATCACAACATCCCGTCATCCTCGCATATGCATGGGACCAACCTGTAATGCGTTTGCCACCCTTCCAGCAAAGTAATCAATCAGCTTTTGCTACATCAGCGAAGATATGCAGTGTTTAATGTGTATACGACAACACGTGAAGATGACGACAGTGCAAGTCGGATGCCCTGATGGATCTGTGGTCCCAAGCCCTTGCTCAGCCTGCCTTAAGTAGAAGGCTGTCAGGTGCCGCCAGCAAAAAGCCTTGCCACACCTGCCATCAAGGTCTAAGGTCTGTAAGGGGGACAGTGCTGCAAAAGCCACCTAACCTGCAGCAAAGGTCAACCAACCATAACCAATGCGAGCTCGTGGCAACAAGCCCAGAGTCAGTGCGACCAACGCACGAATGCACAAGGCGCACCATGCGCGGTTGAATATATTTCTAGACATATCATGCTGGAAGCTGCTAGCTGTTTTCTGCAAGCACCACCTCTGGACCAAGTACACCAGCCAGCAGCATCGTCGACATCACGCTGAACTGACACTCAGTGACGCCCACCTGGAAGAGGAAGAAAGGATGCGCAAGAACATGACAGCAGCAAGGTCGCGGTGTGGCCAACTGGACCGCTGAGAAGCAAGTAAATGCGAATGACATGCAGGGCAGTCTCTGGATGAGCACAATTAATAATATACCCGGGAGTACATGAAATCTGACTGCCGTGGCCGTTTGCTGAGCTCATCACTTCACCGGCCGCCGTGGGGAACACGCCGGTGTGGTACTCCTGCTTGGCACATACTGACGATGCTGCATCGCCAGTCCACGTGTTACCAGCACTCTTGCGAATGTTCCCGTCGTTTGTGCTTCCAGACTGTGACTTGCTGACGTGTCCTGCCACGCTGCCAGCAGAAAGCCGATCCTTTGTGTACATGAAAACTCGAGACGCCACGGCGGCATCTGAAACGTTTGCCATGTCCAAGATACTACAAGCAGATGTGAGTTATCACTCCACGTCTGGGTCCGCAGCATCATAGATTCCATCGAGAACAATATCCAGGGCATGCTGCTGCTGCATGCGATCGACGCCACGGCCGCGTGCTGACCAAGAAACAGGGTCGAAAGGTTTAGGCTTGCATATGCTTGGAATGCCACTACGTGCGGTTTAAGTGCTGGATGCTCAGGAACGACGAAACGTCAATAGCGAAGTAAAAGGATTCATGATTGCGCAACCGACGCCCTCCTGAAGCTTGGCCTGCAGCAAGTTCGACACACAGTCAAGGCCATGGTCGAAAAGCTGGCCCAATGGCGAAGAGGAGCCGGTGCGGCGAGCCTCTAGACTCTCTACATTGCATCGGCATCATGCGAGTGAAGGCCTGCCCCAGGGATGTCACGAGACCTTTTGTGTGTTGGTTCGGATTCTGGTCCTCATTTTGAAAGCCTTGGGTTTGCTGATGCAGATTATCCAAAACAAACTTGGGCCAAGCAGCTTGCTTGCCATCAACAGCGTCCATCGTCTGGTAGAACAGCATTGTACCGCACCAGCTGAAAGACAGCCATCGAGGCCTCGGGTCCAAGGGATGAGGTATACTGCATTACATGCATTACTACACTCTGATGCGCAAGCACGGGCCGGGCCGCCGCCGCTGACCATCCCGTGCAACACACTGCTTGGCTTCCGAGACCAAAAAGCAAACAACGAGGATGCGAGGCGTGTTCTTCGCCTGTGTTTGTCGGATAGCGACGACCAGCTGGATGATCGGGCAGAAGCCAGTTTGGGACAGGGAGTGGCTCGCACGCCTGCTCGTGTAAACAAGCTTAACACGTTGCAGACACGACCATGGCCGTGCCACGCCCCCACCTCCACAACCCCAAACCCTTACGGTCTTTGGACAAACTGACACGCGAACTTTTCCCCCGAAAGGGCCGACGCTCTCCCTGCAAAGGGGAACCTGTTCGAGAACCGGCAAGCGCTAGGATTGGTGAACTGCGCTGCGGTAGCGCGTTCAGGTTTAGGTTTTCCACGTGGTTGCGTGCCGCAGCCTCTATCGAGACCATGGTCTGACACCAGAAATGGGGACTCGAGATCGCACTTCTCTTCCACCCTCACACCAAACCGCTCGGTCAACTGCAGCTCTCAGCCAAGCTCTCAGCCTCCAAACAGCCCCAAGTGGGCATGGGGCTAGGGCCCCGACGGAGCTTGGCCAAAGAAGGGGTCGCTGTACCACGATGCCACGAAAACGACGCACCTAAGTCTTAGGACCTAAGTTCCAAGTTCATGGTATTACGAGGCTTGAACCAGGAAAACTGAAACTTCGATGTTTTGGTCCATCCGGAGCCGGAGGAGCTACAATGCAAAGACAGTTCCACCAGCTGACACGCATAGTCTATTTTGGCAGCAGGATCAGTAACTAGATCTTCCACATCATGAATCACTTGGGCGATGCAGCCGTTCGCACTTTGTGAGTAAATCAAGCTGTCAGCAGGCCGTGATGATTGGAACCAAGGAGCAAAGGCACGAAGCCAATAACGGTGACCTGCGCTGTGATTTCTCGCTTTCTGATGGAGAGCTTCGTGCAGGAGTCTGGGGTCTCTCTCAGCTACAAACCAGCTGTGCTGGAAAATTAATACAGCTGGTACAGCATAGGGGCTACACTAGTCACTAGTCTCGCTTAAAGCAGTTTAGGCCGTCCAAGGACCAAATCGATGTCAACCCGTCGCCCATTGCCTACATGAAAGCCCCGTCAACAACGCTGCCCGAGCTCCATGTTCAGAAAACCGCTTACGCCGTGCGGTATCGTTCTTGACAGCTGCGGAAAGTCGAACAGATTCAGTGGCGGATCACGCTAAAGCAGGAGGCGCCACAATGCATGGCAGAAATCAGTACAATGTGTGCTTCCGCGGAATCTTTGCTGAGTGCAGTACCAGATTCGGCGCCAACCACATGGGCAGAGCCTGAATCGATCTAGAAGAACGCGCTCTCGTTTCCCTGTGCCCGGAACACAAACTGAATGTAGACCCTCGAAGCTTGAGACGCCTCCGCGATCCTGCTCCAGATCGGGTTCATGATTTTGTCCAAAGAGGTATATGCGCCCGGCTTGTACCTGAAGGGTGTTCGTGCATCGACAACTCTCGAAGCACAGGTCTGGGGTTGGGTGAAAGTAGAGGTTCCCATGCTTGGATGCAAATCGAAGGTTCGTATGCCCCTGCTATAGCACCTGTACCTGGAGGCAGACCGGAACCCAATGAAGAAGCTTGCAACCGCAACCAGAAACATCCTTTCTGAAGCGCGAGATCTCTCTGAGCTGCTGGTGGTGGAAGATCTGGTCGGCCCCCTCCTCGGTCAGAACCTCTGCTCAAAATTCTGCCTTTTTCTCAGCTCCTTGGGACCGGGTTTGTACATGTCTAGACAGCCCAGGAACTCGTATCATTGCCATGGCTCACGCTAGTTGCTGTGGGTCTCGAGCCACCTTCTTCCCTTGAGATAAGTGTTGTTGGCATCCGAGGAACGTGCTTGTACAAGGGTTGCACAGAGCGGCTACAAAGCTCTTGCTCTCAGAATATCGAGGAAGTCTTGCCAGGTGATTTCGGGTGAAGATGCGAAACTGTTACTGCAAACTGTAATGAAGTGCGTGCAGCTTCCCTGACGCACTTCCTACCTCACCAAATTCGAGGTTTTTTTGGAGTTGCCATACATCCATCTGTAGGCAAGGCCAAGCGAGTCTTGCACAAAGTAGCAGCTTCATGTGTCGAGTGAGAACTAGGACCTAGTAACTAGGACTCTCATGTACCGTCCATTAACCTTGCCAGCGTTCCAGTTGACAGCTTACGCGAAGTGCAAACTGGACATGAAGGTTAGTCGGTTTGTCCAGTTGTTAAGCAGGCACTGTGCCGACCTCGGTCGAAATCTGCAGTCGGATCAATCAGAAAGGTTTCTGGGTCGCCGCAGCGTCGCTGCAGGATTTGAGACTATTTTTCGATGGCCTGCTGAACCGATTTAAACGCCGCCTTTAACGGCGGACGTGACAACCGCTGCCTAAGGAAACGGTGTCATATCGAAAACCGAAGTCTTTAGACCAGTCTCTAGTGAACACAAGTATGTGTTCTGCACTGAGTCTCTCGATGTCTGCTCTGAGTGCTGTTCAGTGACGCTCCTGAATTCCTTGACGCTCTTTGTGGTACGGTGTCTGCATATTCTACTAGTCCTGTGCGAGACGCTCAAGACACTCAGTTATGTTCTGCCACGACTACCGGTCTGTCAGCAGATTCCTACGCCCTACGCGGCATCCTGCACCCCGAAGGGACGTTAGCTCCCGGGATGAGGACCCCGACCTCAATTTCAGGGCGCTTTCTTTAAATTAACATAATCATAAACACAAATAATCAAAAGGCCAGCGCAGTCGTGTTGGGTGCTGCTGATCTGATGTTGGGCTCTTGCGGGACGGATGCGCTGGCAGAAAGTCTGGGGTCCTCACCCTGGCATCTCTACGGTTCCGATTGCCAGACTTGCCAGCCCATGCCAAAAACAGATCAAAGGTAAAGACCTCTATGCAAAGAAGGGTAGCAACGATTTATTGATATGCTCCTAGTTCCAGCAGCGACAACGGCAACGGGAACAATTCTTATACTGTCAGTAGTCTACTTGATCGGTAGTCCAATTGGACAACGCATGGTTGTGCAAAGGCCACAAGAACACTGGCAGAAAGCCTGAACCCTAGAGGCGGCATTAAGCAATTTATATAAAATTGAAATGCTCACTTTTCGTCGGTGGCAATGCACGGGCACTGCGGGACACCTCCGGCAAGATGATTCACCGGGGCTTCTCCCAACTAGGGCACCCATTTAGCATCCACATACTGCGGAGACTCCAACGGACAAGAAGGCCATTCACAGAATCCCCCTCTTCACCCCCAGACCTCGAAAACGTCCCCAACAGTGCAAGCCCGCATTGCAGCCTACCCCTCGTCTTCCTCTTCCGCGCTGTACAAGGCCGACAAGACCTTGAACGCGACTTTCATAACCTGAGAGCTCGGCAGACAGCCTTTGCTAACAAACATTTGCCCCCCTGCAAGCAGCATTGAATCAGACTCCGCCACTCCACTGGTAGAAATAAGCTTGCGACATTCGGCTCGTGAAGCATGCCTGGTGCCACATTCAACAGTGGACAAGCCTCTCTCCGGACTCTACACCTATACAGATAAAACGACACAATCAGACAGCCATTAATTCACAAGATCTTTCTATCCCAGCCGAGCCGAGGCGCTGAAGTGAGTGCCCGGCACCTGCAAGCATCGTCACTCATCAAGTGATGACTCCCTTAAACCTATCTTGGACCTAACTAACCCTCAAAGGCCCTGAAGAAGAGAGCTCTGACCCTGCCTTGTGCACTTCAGGAGTCTCGGACAAGGAAGAAAGCTGGTGCGCAACCTCCTTGTCGTCTTGGAACGTGAGAGCTTGGAACTCACCTTGGTAAAGCGTTTTTGAGAGCATGCTCAGGCATTTGCCTCTTGGCATATGGAGTCAAGCAACGTACAATTCTCTCTGCAACTGTCTCATTCATCTTCGCCGATGTCCAAGCCTCAGATGCAAAAAAGCACCTATGACTGCCATTAGAGGCATCATGACTGCTGTTTGTCAAGGAATACGGCATTTGTGCATACGACTAGGATCTCGTCTCATGCTCTTACTGACACCCCTGAGAGTGCTATAATTACTGTACTTTTGGGACTGCCGGTAGCATAACCGCAAGTACCAGCCAGTACTAAGCCTAGTCGCATTCCTTGTGAGATTCTTTTCATGGTACAGCTACGACTGCTCGTGCGGTAACATGCTGTAACTAGCAGGGGCCACTACTTGCAACAGCAATTCTGCAATTCGTTGCCGTTGTTGTCTTTGGCTGTTACGGGCACAGCACAGCCATCCGAATGAGTCTCGATACTAGTCTCGATGTCGGCATTTGCATATTTGCGATATCACCAGTATACGCATGAATGCTAGCTTCGGTATGATGAAATCCACGGCGGTGCTGTCACTTCTCGCCAGTGCTGGTTGCAGTACGTGTATGGCTGATGTTGGAGTCCTGACGCTAGCAAGCAAAATTCTGCTTGCACTACTGAGCATCACTGGTATGACTCAAAAACACCACGTGTGTCATAGGAGCCCCCTTCAACCGGGTCCCCAGCCACGGAGGCTCGCAGAACTGCGACTTTGGTTCCGGGAAGAGCCGGGGGAGCCTGGCCCTGCTGAAGCAGAGCGCTGTACCATTGAATCGTTTCCTCAGCGGGCTCCCAAAAATCCTAGAGAAGGGCGCTTATGACTCAAAGAACTTTCCATAGTCTGCCGCAGATAGACAGAATCCTGCATCACCTTAAATACCCTAAATGCTGGGTAGTGTGGTCTAGTTCATTCCGTACTGTGATGCCGGGATTTTGTCCAATAGAAACAGGAGCCCTAAACTCTCAACTCCACACCCTAAACCCTAAACTCGACAAGTGTCATGTACATGCTCCAGGGAAGATAGCGCCCCCGGGCTGAGAGCTCTCCTGATGGCCTGCATCAGTGGGCTCAAGGCCTAGATTAAAGACAGCGATGCTTCACGGGTTCATCCGCAGCTGCAGGAGTCTCACTACAGTTACCCGCTGCACGTGCCTGGCCAAGTACTTTCCTGCTCTGCACTCTGCACCGATCCCGCTTTGGTCGCTAGGTCTTCCCAGAGTGCAATTTGGCCTCGTCGCCATCTCCGGCGTGAGAATTCAACAGCTCAGCGTAGCGTTCTCCTTCAGAACCCGGGAGAGTCTGCGCCAGCAACGCCAGGCTCTCGACAAGGCCTCCGAACTAGAGGACACTCAGGACGAACGTAGAAATACCTCGCTTGGGCTTCCAGGATGTTTTTGGTCTTGTTGTGCCAAGCCTGAATTGGCGAATGCGGCTTGCACATCCACTTGAAGTGGTAGCAAGCTTCGAGGATCCAGCAGAATTACCATAGATACCTGGAGCGTCACGATCTGACCGCAATCACGTGGATTAAACATCTCCGGTACTCACCAGTCTATAGCTCAACCACCGTGCTCTAAAACAAGATTGTTCAACAAGATCTCAGAAGAACGACGGGCCACTTGCTGCCCCTTCGATGAAGCGACGGCTGCTACCTCCAAACAGACATTGGCGCCTCGGCGGTTCGAATTCATAGGGGAAGAAGCGCTCATGAACGCTAATTTGCCGAAGAAGTCCGTTGGAACTGCTCGCAACAACAGGCTCATCATTAAGGCTGTTGTTAGCAGTATCTGCATCCTACACTCCTACACGTGCCGTCAGCGATATCGTCATCCTTCTCACCATCGGCATCATCCCAAGCAGCGTCACAATCATTTAGAATCTTGGTCGCAACATATACAGTACTGGAGGTGACGACTGATGGTGCGTCCCACTGTGATACCTATTGTGGCCGATGCTGGTCGTGCCATGTCGACTGTTGTCCGGCAGATATCCTCTGTTCGTATGCTTCTCCTGCAACTTCCTGCCCGCACCATCCGTGACATCCGTGCCTGCGCTGGCCTGAGCCTTGTCATGTTTGTCTTGCTGATGGCATTCCCCATGACAGTCGTGATGAGCGGTCTTGTTCTGTCCCTCGCATTCGCAACAAGTTTCTACCGCACGCAATGATCTCATCCTCAAAACTGCCCGCTCCTACTCACCATGACAACCCCTCTTGCTGTTCTCCTTCTTGTGGCTCTGAACCCAAGGCGCCGAAGGAGTGGCCGGCCAGAATATAAGGACCATTTGACTGGACCTTCTGGATTTCCGCAAAGAAGAGCTCGGCGAGGTCCTCTGGCAGCAAACTAACGGCTCATGGGCTTGGGCCATTCCCCGCCCCCGGGTCAGCTGCAGCTTACAGGGTTCAGGACGCAGCTTTAGGGTTTAGGCTCTGGGTTAGAGACCTGGGGGCCTGGGGGGTTTAGGATCCTCGCTTCACATCGCGGTTCGGGGAAGCTTATGAGACATGGTGGCACCTTTAACTGTCCTAGTAGCTGAAAGTACCTGAATACGAAAACACCACAGATCACAGTGGCGGTCGGAGCGCCAGCTCATCCTGAACCGAAACATACCTGCACAGCACTGGAATCTGGTCCATGTTGAGCCATAACCGTACGGCGTCCTTGGCTTGGGGGAGGTAACTACCTTCTGGGCTTGAGCTTTAGCAAAACCCCAAGCCTGACCCACACTCTGAACCTGAGCCCAATTACTCGGCCAGAGCAGGTCGGGTGTTGGAGTTTCATGCAGACCGAGACCTGGGCTTTGTAAGATGTCGTGAATCGCGAAATAAATACGAACAATGCCAGTCCCTGAACACACTGAGCAATTCAATCATAGAGGAGCTAGACTCTAGACCCGGTCCTTGAGACTGCTGGGCCACTCTTCTCTGGGGATATTCTTCGGCCAGCTCAAGCCGTAGCTGGCCAATGCAAGGCGCGCAGCGAGGGTTCTAAAGCTTCCCGCTTGCATGCCTCCACAGGCATTGGAGCACCGTCGGAGCCGCAACCCAACGACTGCACACACCGACACACACCAACACCCTGTCGACAGAACAGCTTTGCTGAATCGGAGTGGCTCGCAAGAGTTGAGAACTGCAGCCCCGATCTGCGGAACATATCCGTGCCTGCACCTGGTATGAGGAACACTGGCTTGCTAGCCGGTGTCTCAGAACCTGGTATTCGGTCATGAAGCTGCAAGTTGTCACGAACAGTACGGCGATGCCGGCATGTGCTTGATCAAACTGTGAGCAAGCATGCGAACACCTCCATTGCACAGCGCGTTGAGCGGCTCCAGGAAAAGCTCTTGCGCTTGCGGTGAGACCGCGGTGGCCGATACGAGTGGCATCGGCGATTCCGGTGCATCATCAAGCCTCAGTGTCGCTCTGAAGGACAGTCCAGCCGAGCCTTGTTGCCGATTGGAACAGCAACGGGGATGGGCGAAATGAAACATGCCGCAATGGGAGCATGATGAGAGCCTGGCTGGCCATTGATAAAACCAGCAAGTTCCTGAGCTTTCGGAACCGCTGCGAGCCTCTAGCAGCAATGAGGCTGCATTGCTTATTGAGAATGGCATGTTCGCAGAGGACATTCCAAGCGGCGGCGATAGTGGGATAATCGAAAACCATGGAGTTCGGCAGATTGATACCGTCAAACTCCCTCTGCAGACGATTTCTGAATTCCACACCTGCTTACACATGTTTGTCAATCGTGACAACTTGGGGAGTGTCATGTTCAGCTATGTTGAGGACTGCCGTCCGGCCTGACAGAGAGTCCATGCCGGCATCCATCAAAGGATTATCAGCTTCCAAGTCAAGGGAATCAACCACCTGGGGCAGTCTGCACGTAGGAGCAATAACGAATACATGCAACATGCTGACACTCCTCGGCCTGCCCGGCCTGCACCCCTCAAAACAGCCCTCACAAAAACGAAATCCTCACGGCACCTCCCGCGCCAGATCTCGGAGTCTGTTGCGAACAGCCTCAGATCACTGGATGCTCTTGGTTGCCACAGATTGACCATGAAGGTTGGTGTGATGCTAGACTTCAATGAAATACTCCACACTTACCACGAGCAGTACACCTTTAAATTCAATTTCTGTATTGCTTTAGTTTCGATTATCGCCGTCACCCGTCCTGATTCTGTTTGCAGTACTATTTCGAGGGAACCAATACTGCTACTCCTCCTCCTCCTCCTCCTACTCCTTCTCCTTCTCTCCTACTCATACTCCTACTTCTACTCCTGCTCCTGCTACTACTACTACCACCACCACGACGACGACTACTACTACTACTACTACTACCATTACTGCTTCTACTCCTACTACGACTACTACTACTACTACTACTACTACTACTACTACTCCTGCTGCTGCTGCTGCTGCCGCTGCTACTACTACTACTACTACTACTACTACTACCACTACTACTACTACTACTACTACTACTACTACTACTACTCTTACTCCTACTACTACTCCTCATACTACTACTGCTACTGTAGTCCTGCTGCTGCCGCTGTTTTGCGGCCTGATTCTTCTTTGCTCCTGCTGCTTCAGCTGCTGGTTCTGCCTCTGCCCTGCTTCTGCTCCCTCTCCCGCTGCGGCTTCGGCTGCTACTGCCAGGGCCACTGCTACCGCTGCTGAGGTGGCCACTGGTACTAGGAAACTCTGAACCTTCCGAAGCTGAACCCAAACCCCGACGCCAAGCGGCCGCCAGCCGCTCTTCGCCATTCAGTGCACTTAGTGCTCCCAGCGCCCCCTTTTCGGGGGCGCCCGTGGCCGACCGAGCCTCGGCAGCCTCCAGATTTAGGGCTGAGGGGTGTAGGGCTTTAAAAAGAACCTTCGGGGTTTGGGGCTGAGGTATATATCTTCTTGGTACCACAACGTTTCGTGTTGTCTGTCACGTTCTTGATGATCAAGATCTGTATGGATTGATTTTCGAGTTTAGATTTAACGGTTGCTGGCCAGGGTTGCGAAGTCGTGTCTAGCCGTGGGTTTAGACTTTAGGTTTAGTGCTTCATGGATCAGGTTTTATAATAGGATCCAGGTAAGGGCTCTACTATTTGGCTGGATCTTGGGAATTCAAGGGCTTCGGGTCTGCGGTTGTGGGTGTCGGTTGTGTGTTATACTTGATTTTGGGATTTAAGGTTCAGTATGTTCAGTGGCCGGCTGGGATGGCCCATTCCATGTCCAGCGCGATGCGCATGTTATGCTAGGCCCCCATACAGTATCCGTCCACGAGAGATTACGAGAGCCTCAATCTCCACTAAATCAGGTCAGGCGTCCCTTTTCGCCACCTAAGGTAAGGGTGGGACCGGTGGTTCTATGAAGGTTTCCACAAGCTTGTCTCACGTCCAGGTGAGCCGTCCCTTTGAGCCAAAAAAGGCCCTACCCTTTTTTGGAACCGTCCTCAACACTATTGAATGCAGTAGAGCCTGCTTTACCGAACGATCACTAAGCTCTACAAAACCGGGACCTGAAGCACAGATGCCAAATTCAAGCTTAAAATCCCGAACCCTCGACCCCAATGGCCCTAAAGTCTTGTTCATGGTGCGTTCGACGCTGCCGTTTGGCTCATGTAGGACCATAAGGCGTTTGGGGCTCCCTAAAACTTCAAGCTTTGGCGCAATGGGGGCACTCCCACGGAGTGGAGAATCGAGCCGTGAAATTGTGAAGACTATAGATTTAGCCTTTCTGCACAGCTCCTAGTGGACATGCTTCGAACCGATCTTACAATGTCTTACATGTGTGGCTATGCCTTGCTGTTGCCATGGTAAACCAAGGGCTTCGCAGATTCGCAGCCTAGGGCTTATTAGTCTAGGGCCTGGGGTGAGAACTTAGGGCATCTCTGTCTCCGTCCAGCGATGCCAGGCGACCAAGAGTACAGAAGTCAAGAACACCTCGTGGGGCATCCTCGACCGCTATGTCCGGGCTTTCCCCGCGGATTCTTGGCTTTCTGCCGGTTGGAAGTCTGGCTAGCTGCTAGCTTTTCAGCTCTGCGATGCCCGTATCACACTCACGGATGTAGACTTACAGTGGCGCCGCGAGGTCTTTAAAGCAGCTGCCCAGACTGGCCTAACCTCTGTTGCCCTGTGGTTTACAGGGCTGTAGAAGCCATAGATTCGGGCATGGAGTCTGAAGGCTCCGCTGTGCTTCGGAGCTCAAGCGCAAGCATCCTGTGCTCTAGGACTCTAGGTCTGACCCTCTGAAAATCTTGGTGCCTCCTTCTTGGCTTCCGCTTCGAAGCCCTTGAGGAAGCTGGGTACTTGCGGGTAGGCGCTCCTTGCAATGCTGGTGGCGAGTGGCAGCTGACAGGCTGACAGACAGATAAAGCGTGCAAGCGTCTTCAGATACTTGCCCCAACGCACCGGCACGGCACCGACCAGGAGTTTGGAGCTGCTGAGGATACCTTACATGATATGGTGACTTCACCTACGAGTATCTGAAAAACAGCAATTGGAAGAATACAAAACGAGCCGGAGACAGCCGGAGCTTCGTTCGCCAAGGGGCTGCTGATAATGGCGAGGCCCTGGGCATTGGTCAACGCACCGACACCTTCAACAGCACAGAGTCACATTCGGATAGAGAGGCCCCGTCCTCACGACAAACCCTAAACCCTAAACCCTATGTGCAGTCCTCATGACATGTGCAGGCCGAGATGCCCATGGACTTTGCACGTCCCAGTGTGTTTGCCTGCACGGCCATGCCGACCTCGGCCCAGGGGCCCCACTGGACCGAACGCGCATTTCGCCGAAGGAAGTCACCTTCCTCCGGGTCCTGATGCAACGGCTACTGACTCGCAGTGATGCCATGCCAGCTCCTGGGCTGTCCTGTGAACTCCAGAAGGGTGCCAAGGAGTCGAGCACCGAATTTGAGGCCGAATAGTTGGCCTGGCCTGAGAATTGTCGAGGCAGACCGAGGCAGGCCACTTGACAACACAGAGAAAGCCTATGGACACAGGCCTGGTGATCCAAAGAGTGCCGAGGTGGAGGAGAAAAGCATATGAGGCGCGTCTTTGTCAAAATCCAGAATTCGGCACAAGTTGAAGAGGCCGTGCACCTGGCAGCCATGAACTCAGTTTGGCTTAAGACTTAAGACGCTTTGTCCGTCGTGCGCCATCTTTTCATCTGCCCACCTTGGGACCATAGGATCTGTCCAAGCTCTCGCGGTTGAGACTTGGCAAGACCCCATCAGCCAGAACCCCAGCAAGGTGCAAGAGACCTCCCAGTGCGCTTCCTGGCAGGGCCAAGTAAGCATGAAGAAGAGACAAGCTGGGATGCTACATAAGCAAGGACTACAACAATAACAAAACAGCAACATAAACAGAGGCAAAGGCAAGAACAACAACAACAACAACAACATTTTTTTTCAATTGGACGCGGCGCGAGCGGGCTCAGCGCATAGCGGGCATGTAGCCGCCTTGGCACTCACGACAGTGAAACCGACCGAAAAAGTCGAGAGTTAGCAAGTTCAGAAAGTAGCCTCGGCTCTGAAGCATCTTGACCAGAGCCTATGCTGGACGGGCCGGGCGAAGAAAAC